CGCATGAGATGCTTTTTTGATGTGCCAATAAAGTTTAAATCTTATTTAGACGCTATGAGAGTCCTAATCGGGAAGAAATACAAAGCCTAACAGTTTTTTATTTCCAAAAGATTTCTTACTCAATAAAGATTCACTTTCCTAAACGAACACGAAGATATTTCAGAAAGTCTACTATTTTTCTCTCTTTAATACCTCAAGTGATCAAGAATTGTATCAAGATTCAAGGAAGTCATCCACGTTATTTGACTAGTTTTTATCTCTAAACTCTAAATCTTGTTTTTACTTTTCATTATTCACATTGATTATTCAATATTCATGTTGATTATGCGAATATTTTCAATTTTAATTGAGTTTTGTTTAATTACTGTGTCGAATTAAATTCATATACTAGGGATTTAATGTAGCTTAATTTTGATTTCAATTTATAATATTAGATTATTTTTTCCTTGTTCATGATATAATTTTTATTGAACTTAATGCTTCTAGGCATAGTTTCTCCCCTAGATTGCTTTATTTCATTAATCACTATCGGGAGAAAGGGTTTTTGATATGAAAAAGGTAATAAATTACATGAGAATAATAACTTGATGCGGAAGCTATATAGTTTGACTCATGGGGTTTTTGTAAGTTAACGACCTTAGGTTATGAATTCACAAACAAACCATAAAACTTAATAATTTAATTCATGTTTGATTGCGCTGTTGGAAGATAGGTAATTACACCGGGTTAAAATAGCTAATAATACATTGGGAGAGCTTGTTAGTGATTTTAGGATTGTTTTCCCTACTTGAACAATTAAAATTGATTATCAAACTTTAAAATCTGAATTAATGAACCTAATTAAAAATAATGGATAGAATTAATGAGTCAAAATTCCTAGTAGTTTTTAATCCTTGATTTTTCTTTTAATCAAAAATTGCTTGCCTTGATTAATTTTTATTATCTTCTTATTTGTTTTGAATTAGTTTTGTTGAATTTAGTTTCTTAAAATAATTTTCCTAAATTGCCGTTTAAATAATAGTAGGTTAACATAATTTTGGTACTTGGTATACAATCCTCGAGTTAACGATACTCTACTCATTATATATTACTTGTTGCGATTTTGTACACTTGCAAAAATCACTATCAAGTTTTTGAGCCTGAAAATTGCAATAATAAGGGAAAGCATAAAAACAATGAGCTTCCATTTTAATTTGCATAGTTATACATGCAATTGCTTGCCACTGTTCCATTTTAATCCGCTCTGCCACTATTAGTGCACTGACTGTATTTGCTGGTTGAATTTTAAATTATCCTCAAATTGGACTAGAATGCTTTATCTTCAATGAAAATAGCATTCTTCTAATAAATTCACCATTTTGCATCATGTTATTGGAGGATCAATAATGGGTTACATTTGGTAAGCTAGAATGTAACAAAATCAAATGCATTTCTAGTGCATTGGGTTAATATTGCATTAAACTGCATTTAGGCTCACTAAATGTATCTGTCAGGTATTAGGCTCCTGTTTGAAATCTTTTATATCAAACACAAGACATTGCACCGTTTGCCTTTTTGCTGGGTGAAAAGTTCAGCTTTGTATTTTTTTGAGGCTGCATTCAATTTCAGGAATGATGAATTTGGAAAAGTCTACAAGACTTCATGTTTGTTCATTGACTTGCATAGAAAAGTTTAGGGAAATTTTAGTTTCTTAAATAATGTAAAATGCTATCATTGGTCATTTTTTAAAATGTTTAACTCTCATTTTTTGGATTTGGTGCAACCTTTGAGGACCATAAGGGCTGTTTTATTCGAGCTATATCAGGCCATTTCAATACCCATTTAAATGCAACCGCGGTTGAAGCTTTGGCATTGAGGAGGATATTAGAATGGGCAGAAGTGAATTTGAATGGAGCAGGTGTTATCTTTTCGGACAACCAGCAATTAGTTTATGCATTGAATTCATTTTCTATGGATTTTTCAGATGTTGATTTATTTTGTACAAGACTGTAGATTGATTCTCAGTCATTAAAATGATATTAGAATTCGTTGGATTCGGGACAAGCCAACGTGGAAGCTCACTCCCTTGCAAGAGCCTTCTACCTTCATGGATGTTATACCAAAACTGTTTATTGTCTCTTCGATTATTATCTTAATGAAGTATTTTCTTTTCAAAAAAAAAAAAAAAAAAAAAAAATCTTTTCAAAAAAAAAAAAAAAAAAAAATATTAGTGCCTATAAGAGGGTATTGTCCATATGCCATGTTTATAATTCAATACTAGTTTTCACTACATATCTTACTATGCTTGGGGGCTTTCTCTTTTGGAAGGCCTAGAGACCTTCTGAGAATTTTCTTCCTAACTTGATTGCAGGGCAGGGGATAGTGAGGGACTAGCTACTCGGTGAATTGCCTAGAGTAAATAATAGTAAACCTTCACCATCAATGCCAAATATCAATTCTGCCATTTTTTTTTTTTTTTTTTTTTTTTTTGAATATTGGAGGAGAGGGAGTCAAAGCGAGATCTATTGCTAGGTTATATATGCACTTATCATTGGTATGCCAAGTTAAAATCACATGCTTAAGGGAACCATAAACAAAGACCACTATGTCAGACCATTATAAGTTTTGATAGCAACAACGATATCGACTACTATTAAAAAATTAGAACATATAAATACTTTTTGATTAGCACCAACCTTGATCTAATAGTTTCGTCAGCACATTTCAATGTCTGGTTCATTTTTCTCTGTTCGTGCGTTTGTAGCGGATAGTGCTGAGCAGAAACCATTCAAACCGAAAAAAGTAAATCAAACTGACTAGTTTGATCTCAATGTTCACTGTATATTTTTTTTTCTCTTTTTTTTTTAAACCATCTGGATCCGAAGCCTACAAGCCAACTAATCTGAAATCACACTGCACAAGCTCACAAAAGAGGCAAAAAACTCTCTCCCAATGTTTAAAAGGATTCAATACTTAAAGCTCGAACTTAGACATATAGTTAAGGAAGAAAAAATCCAAAGTAAATAAACTATAAAATAATAAATCAATATCCAATAAAAAAGAAAATATTCTAAGCCCATATACCCAAACACATTTCAAATCAGTCTAAAAAATAATAAATTACAAAATTGTAAATCCTATACTTCCAAATACAATAATAAACTAACCGTCCAAAAGCGAACTTATATAATATATAAAAACAGGATAGTTTGCATGTAAGTAGCACAATTTGCTATTTAGCATTATTTTAGATTATAGAATAACTACAATTGAATTTAATTGTAAGATCAGTTATTTTATATTTTCAAATAATCTCTTTATCAAGATAATATCTATAAAAAAGATTATCTATAGCATATATATTAATATAAATTTATTTCTTTTTACAAAATAATTAATAAATATATAAATTATTTTTTCTTACAAAACAATTAATAAGTATTTTTTCTTACAAAACAATTAATAAGTAATCCACAGGCTTAAAAAAGTGTGAATAAATAAAATATTAATATTAAATAAACAATATAAAAAATTTAAAAATATAGATTGGAACATACAATATACGATAATTTTTAAAAAAGGTAGGATATCCACATATTTAGAACATAATACACTAAATAAGTAATACATTAATATTTCAAATAAATATGCATCAAGGCATAGTCTAGTGGTAAGTACATATATAGTCTTTTAATATATTCAGGATTGAATTTCCCTCCCCCAATACTAAAAAAAAAATTAATATTTCAAATAAATAAATAATCATTTATAATAAATCATAAATATAAAATTAAAAAGTACTTAATTTTTTATTTCAATGACAAAAATAAATTTAAAAAACACTTCATTTTTATTGGTAATAAAAAAAATGTGGTTGATTAGCTTAGTGTATGGAGTAGTCTCATATGTCAGAAGCTAGGTTGCACGGACACGGGACACGAGATACGATAATTTTTTAAAAAGTGGGATATCCACACACTTAGAACACACTACACTAAATAAGTTACACTAAATAAGTAATATACTTAATTAATATTTTAAATAAATAAACAATAATTTATAACAAATCATGAACATAAAAAATACTTAATTTCTTATTTCAATGACAGAAAACAAATTTAAAAAAAAAAACACATTATTTTTTATTAATAATGAGAAAAAACCTTGGTTGATTAGCTTAGTATATGGAGTAGTTTCATATATCAGGAGCTTGATTGTACAGACACGAGATAAGAGAATATACAGAATACAATAATTTTTAAAAAATGTAGAACATCCATACGCTTAGTACACAGTACACTAAATAATTAATATTAATATTTCAAATAAATAAACAATCATTTATAAATATAAAATAAAAAATTTTCAATATAATTAGTTAAATTCTCAAAATTATTATCACTATTAAAAAATATATTAATAGTATGTATACATAATTTGATGTAGGTCATACCATGTATAACTTTTGCTATTATATACCTTATGAAAGACTTAATAAGATACTTAAGAAGATATATTTTAGTATTGTAAATTTTCAGCAAATGTCAATAAGATAAAATTTATTATTTTATTACATAATTTTATTATTTTTGAATGATGTTATAAAATATTATATCATCATTTAATATTTATCCGCGTATTGCGCAGGTTCTAACACTAGTTGTTATAATATATGAATTTTTCAACTAAAGAATAACAATATTATGCGTAGTAGGATTGTCTTTCATTAAAAAAAAAATTTATATTTAATTTAATTTTAAATATAGTTAAAAATTTTAAAATAAAAGTTTACAACGGTTATATGAAATTTATTTTGAATTCATATCCCATATTCTATAATCAATATTTTTAAAAAATACATTTCATTTTATTAGGCCCCATCTTAAAGAGGACTCAATTGGTCCAAAGAAAAAGTTTGGGGATTCGATAAGGGATTCAATGATCGAAAGTGAAAAATTAAGGGACTTAATTGGGTTGTCCCCACCCAGGGGAAAAACTAAAGAAAGACCAGTGCCAGTAGTTGACTAGCCAAGCAAGCACAAGCCTAGATCAGACAAATGTACTGATTCCACCCAACAAACGAACAATACATAGCTAGAAGATGGTCGATCCAATCCCAGAACGAGTAAAGAAGATATGGGATCATTGGAATATCAGAGGAGCTATTATGTTCAGTCTACTCTTGCAAACCCTTCTCATATTCTTCGCTCCTTTCAGGAAACGCACATCAAGAAAGCTCATAATAATGATGATATGGTCCGGCTATTTACTGGCCGACGCCACGGCTAACTTCGCCGTGGGACTTATCTCCAATAGCCAAAGCAGCTCTGATTCAAAATCCCCATCTGAAAACGATGATCTCTTGGCTTTCTGGGCCCCATTCCTCTTGCTTCATCTTGGTGGGCCCGATACCATTACTGCATTTTCTCTTGAAGATAATGAGCTTTGGCTGAGGCATATGCTTGCTCTTGTTTTCCAAGCTGTAGCTACTGGTTATGTGTTTGTGCAGACACTTGGAAATGGACAGAATAAGGTAATGGTTCCTACGTTTCTACTATTTCTTGCTGGAATTATTAAGTATCTGGAGCGTACCCGTTCTTTGTATCTTGCTAGTATGGATAGATTTCGTGATTCTATGCTTAAAGAACCTGACCCTGGTCCTAATTATGCTAAGTTAATGGAGGAATATGCTTCAAAAAAACAAGCCAAACTTCCAACCCAGATAATTATGATACCAGAGCCTGAAAAAGGAAATAATGCCTCGCGGATTACTGCTAAATCTATAAAATTGGATGATCAATTAGAAGTTGTGCAAAAAGCTTTTGGGTTCTTTAAAATTTTCAGGGGTTTAGTTGTTGATCTTATCTTTAGCTTTAAAGAGAGAAATGATAGTAGAGAATTCTTTAATAATGTATCTGCTGAAGATGCTTTGAGAGTAATTGAGGCAGAGTTGAATTTTATTTATGAAGTTTTGTTTACTAAAGTTGTTGTTGTTCAGTCTAAATGGGGATATTTTTTTCGCACTGTTGCATTTAGTTCAGTTGTTTCAGCTCTAGCTGTGTTTCATTTTAGTGTTAAGAAGGATAAATTTAATGGTTTTGATGTTGGAGTTACATATGCTCTGTTGTTTGGTGCTATTGGATTGGATACTATTTCTTTGATCATGGCTCTTTTGTCGGATTGGAGAGCAGCCGCTCTTAAAACATCAGATATTATATCTGAGTCTTGTTGGGAATATGTCACTGCCTTCTTCAACAATTTGGCAGTGGTGATATTCCGCAAATTCCTAGTTATCAAAAGGTCAAAGTGGTGTGCATATGAGATAGAGCCTAATGTCAAATTTACAGTTCTCATTACCCCCATTTTCTTTCGTCGATGGTCTGGCTATGTCGCAGGCCATAATTTGATAAGATATTGCCTCAAAGGAAGGCCAACCAGGATTTGCAGAATCAAGAAGCGGATTTGCTGTAGTGCTGTTATTCAAGATTTTCATGAATCCTTGGCTAATCGAACTGAGAAGATTATTCAAATAATACACGTGGATAAACCAATAGAGAAATTTGTTAATCTCAAAGATAAAATTATTGATTTCATGGGCCTCAAGGACTTTGTAGATGAGATAACGTATGTTTCAAGAGAACCATTCACTAAAGAGCTTTGGGAATTCATTTTTAGTGAGTTGCAGAAGAAATCTCTTTTTGCAGATGATCCTGAAATGGCCAAGAGGATATGTTCAGCTAGAGGTGATTGGGTTCTCCAGGATAATGTTTCTGATAAATACAATGGCTTAATGCCTTATGTTTCAGATGTTGCTTATGATCAAAGCCTTTTGTTGTGGCATATTGCTACTGAGCTCTTGTACAGCACTGATAAAGATACTTTGAAGAGTTACAGTCATAGAGAATTCAGTAAGATCTTGTCAGATTACATGTTATATCTTTTGATTATGCAACCCACTATCATGGCAGCTGTGGCGGGTATTGGTAAAATAAGATTTCGAGATACTTGTGCTGAGGCTGACCGATTCTTTAAAAGGAAGGATTTAAGATCCAACGATGAAAAGAATGCATGTCAAAGCATTCTTGATGTGGATACTGAGGTTAAGCCTATTGCTGTCAAAGGAGACAGAAGCAAGTCAGTATTATTTGATGGGAGTATGTTGGCTAAAGAGCTGAAAAAGCTGAAGGAGAAAAAATGGGAGATATTGAGTAAGGTGTGGGTGGAATTGTTGTCATATGCTGCAAGTCATTGCAGAGCAAATGCTCATGCTCAGCAAATAAGTAAAGGTGGAGAGCTGCTTACTTTGGTTTGGCTATTAATGGCTCATTTTGGATTGGGGGATCAGTTCCAAATCAATGAAGGTCATGCAAGAGCAAAATTAATTGTGGGCAAGTAGCTTCACCAAGATGTTGGTTTGATGATTTAGTTTGTGTGGGTTTTTGACTTCTCTTAATTTCCATTTTCCATTACTGGTTTTAGGGAAGCATCAGCATTTGTATTCAATCTGGAATTTGTCGTAGTTATCTGTATTCAAACTGATCCAAATATGTTATACTAATTAGATAGACTTGTACTTTCTATTTCTGAGTTCTTTAATTAACTTATCAGAATTTCCAGTGCAGTAGTGAATGAATTATCTTGACTAGAATGCTCCTAATATGCAGTTTTTCAAATAAACAGAACAATGAATATTTTTTTCCTACAGAAAATAGGATCCGAGAAGGCGAATATGGAATTAGTAGTAAATTACAAAAGTTTTTGAGGATGCATGTTTCTTTGTTAATCCTTCATTTCATGCATATGGATGAATACAGTGATTGTAGAAGGGGATCTGCAGGAAACAAATTGGATTATATCTATTCGAGTTGCTAATTGCATTGATATTTAAAAGATTCTGAACTTCCAAATCATTTGAGTATAACGGATTCCTTGTTAACTTTCATTACATGTGCTCCATTGTTAACATTCATCACATGGACTCCTTGTTTCTTGTGTTGTGAGAAAGGCTTTGTGGTGATGTAAAGCAATCAGTGGTCAAATGGTAAAAAAATCACGAGAGATCTATTTGTTTGGAGTAATATATTAAGAAAGAAAATAGTGATTGTAATGTGGCAACTGGCAAGAGAAAATAATGTAGGACACTGGTACTTCATTCAAAGTTATCAAAAACAAAAGGAGCTCTTAAACAATCCATGTCTAGAAGAAAGGTTAGTGACATTATGAGAACTCGATTCTTAGAAATAGTATTTATCTACATTTTCTGTGGGATTGACTTGCTTTCACTGCGTCCACAGCCCCATTTTCTGTGGTATTACATCAAAAAATCTATATAATGTTTATTACATTTTTCAGAGCTCATACCCATTCTTAACCACCATCACTCCATCACAGCAATCACTCCAATCACCACCCCACCACTACTATTACTCCACTACCACCACCGTATCATTATTAATTATTCTTCTATATTGTTATGGGAATAGGAATAATAAAATGAAAAGTCACGGAAACGATCAAAATACCATAATTTTATATTATAATTTAATTTATTCAATAAAAATATATACAATTGTGTAAAAAAAAAAAAAAAATTCAATGACTTTAACTTTTACTTTTTTACTTCCATTTTTTTCCAGCTTGACTTTTATTTAATTTTTTAGTCCAAATGGTTTATAGGTCCGAATAGTCTTCAATAGCTTGATATAATGAATAACTTTTGATTTCAATGTTTCTTTTTTTTTAGTAATAATAATGTGGTGGTGATGGTGATGGTAGTGGTGGTGTGCTAATTACATTACATGTTTACAATCAAATATAAAAATTGAATGGTGATTACATTCCATAAATTTTCTGAATTACATTATCGAACATAGTAATAGAATTTTAATTACATTCCATTATATTTTTCGTTGCATTACATTTTTTATTACGTTGTACTGTATTGCATCAAACCAAATATAGACTAAAGACTTATCAAATCGAGGTAATTTGGTACCCGCAACAAATGACAACCAAACCTTAATAATTTTAAAAAACAATTTGAGACGAGATGTCTTTGCCACATTTTATCAAACAACTTGTCAGCAAGCTTAAAAATGTGAAATAAAAACAAATTATTGTCAAAAAAAAAAAAAATGGAAAGCAAAATAATGCAATAATTGATTCTCAAAAGAGAAACAATTTATTTATTTTAAAAAGGAAGATATACTATTAACATTTACATTACAGAAAAAAGAAAGAAGCTAAATTTCTATGTTGTTTAAAGTTAACATCTTCATTTCACTGCACTTCTATTACTGCATATTGCTTGAGAAAGAAGTGTTTGTGAAGTGGAGCAGCCAAAGGTTTTGTAAAAATATTAGCTGATAGAGCATGAGAAGATCCTGGGAGTAATTTGATAATTCCTGCTTGAAGTTTCTCTCTCACAGACCACGGTCAATTTCTGTATGTTCAGTAGGCTCATGATAGGTAGGATTAGCAGCTATTTGAAGAGTTGACTTGTTGTCACAGTATAATGATGCAGGCCTTGAACGAGGGTGTATTTAACCGTTCAGTCGTATTCTCAAAGATTTATTTTACACTGATCCAACGTCGAGTTGTTTCGACCTTTGAACTGTGTTCGCAATGATAAAAAAAAAAATCAAGAGTATAATCTTCTTTATAATAGGAGATTCATACATAGAGATTGTATTCATTTATTTATTATAAATACGATTTGTATTTTGTATTTTTATTTTTTAATTTTTAAGAAAAAATTTTATGCATACGACTGTATTTTGTGCTTTCAAAATAATTTTGGTTGATCCTTAAATTTTTGTTCTCTTGCCTATGTCTACATATGATGGGGCTAGATTTTTTTCTTTTTTTTTCTTCTTATTACTTACTTTTTTTTTTGTTGGTTTAAAAATATTCAGAGGGCTAAATTTTTTAATTTATAAGAATTTTTGAGGAAATTTATAAACAAATTCTTTTTGAAGTTAGTTATTTTTCAACTAAAATGATAGTCAATTATTTCTAACCTAAATATCAATGGATAGTTATTATGTTATTTCTATTCTATAATATATTTCCCTTTTCTCTTCATGAGATCTATGAAAGAAAAATTCATATAAAATTTTTTTTATTAGTTTTTAGTGTATTGATTTCAAATTAATTATTTTTTAATTTGTATTAATTATTCTAAAAAAAAGTAGATTTTCCTTTTAAAACAGAAAACTAAAACATTTAATTTGTTAATGAATTAAAAAATTTGAAGTTTTTATTTTCCTATAGTCATGTTTTTTTTTAATTCTTACTTATAAATACAACTAGTTCATCTCTATTTTTTTTTTTAAAGTATACTAATTATTCAGATGTTTTACTTCCGTTACACTATTAAGTTCTTTTGTCCAATTTTTGCATCTTTTCCGTTACATCAACAAGAAAAACAGAAGTCCAAGGAAAGATACTAAAATATTATAACGAAAAAATTAAAATGTAGTCTCTATAGTTTACAAAATACAACTAATCTGTCTTTGTGTTTTTAAAAATAAAAGAGATGTGTTTGTTATTTCATAAGATACTTAATAAAAATATGCAGCATTTGGACAGAACGACCTTATAATCTGATGAAAATAAACTATAACAAAATTTTAGTTTATTTCCTAAAAAGCAGGGACAGACTAGTTGTATTTCGCAAACCACAGAATCATATTGTAATTTTTCCTTTTATTATTGATATAAAAAGAATAAATATATTTATTGACTTTTTAACAAAGGAACTGAATGCAAACACTGAGTCATGGTAGACATAATCACAAATAGTCCATGTATTATCCACTTTATACTACCTCTGTTTCATAATACTTTTCACATTTGGAATTTCATGTTTCTTAAGAAAACCATTGAATTTGTTTAAGTTGCAATAAATTTTGAGTAAATTTACTATATTACCCTTAATGTAATATTAGTTATTGGTCATATACAAAGGGTAAAAATGAAAAAAAGAATTTATTACTTTTTGAGATCACAAATGTACAAGTATTTTGGAACAAATTATTTTCTCAAATATGACAAGTAGTATAAAACGGAGTAATATTATATAAACTTTTCCTTGTCTGGCTAAGACCATGATAAATGATCTCTTGAATAAAAACCGATTAAGAAAATTGGTCTTGCGATAATTATTTATAAGTTTGGATTATAATTTTTCTCTATATATCCCTCACATTAAATGTAAACTTCTATTCTTATGAAATTCAATTATCTTTTGAATATTATTTCAATGTCTAACTAAAGTATCTAAATGGTTATCTCATACGAAATCAATTTTTTTGGTTATTTAATTAAATAATAGAAAATAATAAAAATTACAAAAATATATAATGATATATACACACTTCATATTTTCATTTAAATTGAAGTTCAGAAAACAAAAATTCAATATAGTACAATAATCTTCATATTTAATATAAATAAAATTAAATATCTAATTTTGAATGGTTAAAATATTTATAGCTTTAATAAAATCAAACTCCATCATTCAAAAATGTATTGAAAATATAAAAAGTTGAGCAAAATTTTCGATCTGTAATAGCAAGTATCAAAAAACTGTATTGGGTTTTAAAGATAAGATAACCTATAAAAATACCCTTTAACTTTCCGACTTATTGTATAATTATTTTAAATCAATCTTTGTGTCTTGGTGTCATGGTGCTAGAACGTTGTAACCTTTGGCACTCGTGTGGCGCCTAGACTTAGCTCATAATCTAGGCCAGTCATGTATATTCCGAGGGTTTTTGCATAATAGTCGACTATAGGACTCATCTTGCAATATATATAAGGGTCTCGTACAACTGTATATGAGCTCAAGGCCTTAGGGCAACCTAGGTAGCATAGAACTGCCTATGCCGAAACCTTCACTTATGGAGAGATGCATTTTCTATGGAGACATCATCCCCTCTTGATAGAAAATGATGCCCGCATCCTAGCTCACTAGGGCTCGGTCTCCCATACCAGCCCTGGGGCGACGGAGAACATTACGCTGGGTCTCCCCTCTCATATTCTTGGTCCAAATATCATCCAATATGCTATTATCATCTCCAATAGTCTTACTTTGTCAATAGGGTTACCATGGTTGGCACCATGGGTAGGGATGCTGGACTCACACCCCTATCTTCTCCCCCACTTAAACAGATTGATGACCTCATCGATCATGCTGCACCAACTCTGTGCTTCTCATCTACAATCATCATTGTTCTCAGCTTTCCAATGAAAAGGTTCTATGCATCTGCTTATTGCGCTGCCTCATGGAGAACTAATGTGAAAATTTGTGTAGTATTTTGACATTACTTCTCTTCTTCTTTATTCTTCTTTTGGGAACAATATTCTTCCACTTTGGAACTACATGTCATCAATATCCCACCGGTCATACTTTATATAACATCCCTTCTCTTATTTACTCTATATTATCATTATCTACCCAATCTTCCACCTTCCTATATAGAGGATTATACTTTATATTATTACATTCTCTACATTTACACCATTCCTCCCCCTTTTAGCCAGATAGGATCCCCATATGTACTCTTCCCCACTCAAACAATCGACGTCCTTGTCGATTAGGGTAGTGTGCTTAAAGTA